TACTTTATTAATTCAGCAAATATTTATGAGCTAGTGATTACACTGTTGTTGTTGTTATGTGCTGTCAAGTCAGACTCGACTCATAGTGACCCCTCCTTGGGTTTCTGAGGTGGTGTGACTATGGAAGTAGATTGTCCAACCTTCCTTCTGAGGAGTGATTACACTGGATGTTGTAAATTGAACAGTGAGCAAAAATCCTTGTCCTTTTGGAATTTGTGTTGTAAGGAAGGGAAGAGACCTTAAATATACATAAATAAATTATACAGTGTATATTGTTGTGAGAAGGTATATAAAATATATTTTACTTGTCCATGGAAATACCTCTTAGAGATTATTCATTTGCTTGTTTTTTCTTGGTGCACCATGATTACCGTCCCCGACCATAACAGACTCTCCTCAGTTCCGTTGTGAGTATCTCCCTGTGCCCTTCTTAACTGTGCGCTCCTGTCGGCCCAGCTTTTCCTCTATGTGAATGCAGTCCCTCTGGTGCCTCACGGCCAATTGCTCTAAGGGGTGTATCTAGAGTAAGTGGGTGCATAGCCTTGGGATAGGTGTTCTGCGTTTAGGTCTTTCTGCTGTTGGGCTGAGAGCCGATCCATGGGAGTGAGTCCAATTCTAGGCCCGAATGGTTACCTGACCTCTTACATTATTTCTTATTCATTTTTTTTCTCAGTACCTCTCTCTTTTTACCTTTTTTGCTTTGTGTCCATGTCCTCTGTTGATCATTTCTGCAGATAAGAAATGTATTTTGTTTAGTGTAGCCATTGGCTTTCCTCCTTCTCTTAGTGGCTTTATTCATATCATTTAAAAACTTAACCCACCCTTTGAAGGCAATACTGAAAGGGAAGGAGAGCAATTTCTTGGGTCATCCTTTTTTATCACCCTTCTTTCATTTTCCTGGTGGTGCAGTGCCTAAGGCACTTGACTGCTAACCAGAAGGCTGGCAGTTCAAACCCAGCAGCCACTCCTCGGAAGGAAGACTAGGCAATTTATTACTTCCATAGTGATACTGCTTTGGAAACCCAGGGAGGGTTGCTATGAGTCGGATCCGACTTGACCTCAGTGAGTTTGGTTTTTTGGTTAATGAGAATTTACTAGAAAATCTGTCCGCATGCCCACATTTATTTTTGACATGAGTTTTGTCTTTTCCGTTGCCTGATCAGAAGGGCTCTCCCTCTCTCTTCTCTTTTTCATATTATTTCACAGCGACGTTCTCATAGTCATAATCACCTTTCTCAAATTCCTTTAAACCAAAACAACCAAATCCATTTACATCGAGGCGCTTCTGCCTCATGGTGACCTCGTGACTGTTAGAGAGCAGAAGCATTTTCATGTAAATGAGCATGGCTTCTCTGAAATACAGATCAGACTACATCTATTGGTGCCAAAAATGTCAAAATATGAAACCAATAGTATATGTAGATCAAGACTTTATAGAGAGAAGCAGAAATATTGTTCCTTAATGGAAATAACAGGTTGAATCTTGGGCTAACTCATTTCCCGGAACAGCATCCTATGGGTTTTATGTAAACTTCACATCATACTGTGGGACTCTACAAAGTTTATTACATGATTTTGTTTTTTTCCTTTATGCTGAGCCCTGAGTAGAAGAAACTGGGAAAGCAAAAAAATAAAAATAAAAAATAAGGGAAATGAGTCCTTTCCATGATAAATTGTGTACTGAGATCGGGTAATTTCCTATGACTTATCTTCTGGGATATCATTGCTGATGTCAGATGGATCTTAGGCTGAAAGCAACAAATACCAGAAAGATGTTTAGTTATGTTTTATTGACCATGCAAAAGCATTCGATTGTGTGGATCATAACAAATTATGGATAACATTGAGAAGAATGGGAATTCCAGAACACTTGATTGTTCTGAGGTCCCTTATGAGGGACCTGTACATAGATAGACCAGGAGGCTGTCGTTCAAACAGAATAAGGGGATGCTGCCTGGTTCAAAATCAAGAAGGGAGTGTGTCGAGATTGTTTCCTTTCAGCACACTTATTCAGTTTGTATGCTGAGAACATAATCCGAGAAGCTGGACTATATGAAGAAGAACGTGGCATCAGGATTGGAGGAAGGCTCATTAACAGCCTGCGATATGCAGATGACACAATTTTGCTTGCTGGAAGTGAGGATGACTTGAAACACTGACTGATGAAGGTTGAAGACTACAGTCTGCAGTATGGATTACACCTCAATATAAAGAAAACAAAAATCCTCACAACTGGTCCAATAAACAACTTCATGGTGGATGGAGGAAAGATTGAAGTTGTCATGAATCTTACAATACTTGTTCTACAATCAACACGAATGGAAGCAGCAGTCAAGACATCAGACAATGTATTGCACTGGGCAAATCTGCTGCAAAAGACCTCTTTCAAGTGATGAAGAGCAAAGATGTCTCCTTGAAGACTAAGGTGCACCTAACCCAAACCATGGTATTTTCAGTCTCCTCTTATGCACGTGAGAGCTAGACAATGAATAAGGAAGACTGAAGAAGAGTTGATGCTTTTGAGTTGTGGTGTTGGAGAAAAATGCTAAGAGCACCATGGTCTGCTAAAAGGCCTAAGAAATCTGTCCTGGAAGAAGTGCAGCTGGAATGCTTCTTGAAAGTGAGAATGGCCAGACTTTGTCTCATCTATGTTGTCAGAAGGAACCATTCTGTGGAGGAAGGATATCGTGGTAGTTAAATTTGTTTGTCAGCTTGGCTGGGCCTGGTTGAGTGGTTAGGCAGCTGGTGGTAGTTATTCCCCATGATGAGACTGGCAATGAGCTCCATGGTGGGATCTACCATAAGCAGCTGAGTAGTTGCCTTTGGGTTGTGGTCTGCTTCCTGTATATAAGGAGAAAGCTTGGGAATAGTCTCTAGTTTATGGCAGGCTTGGATCCTGCATGTAGCCCTGTCATTGTTCAGCAGCCTGCCATGCTCTGCTGACCTTGGGACTTTCAATGGACTTGAATTAATGGCCTGCCATGTGGTTTGGTAACATCAAGACTGTGCCATTTTATTTGTCGACCTTGGGCTTGTCAGCCTCAGCAGCCAGTAGCTGCCTGAGTGAAGAGATGCCTCTAGCTTCAGTGGGCCGGGAGCAAGAGGCAGAGCTGAAGCCCAAGTTTGAGAGGTTTTCACCCCGCCCCAGAGTCTGGCACTTTGAATTCAGACTTCTAGCCTCCAAACTATGAGAGAATAAACTCCTGTTTGTTAAGGCCATCCCATTGTCCCATTTGTGGTATGTTCTTGTCAGAGTGGCACTAGGTTACCAAAACAGATACCATGCTTTGTAAAGTGGAGGGTCAACAAAGAAGGGGAAGGCCCTCAAAGAGATGGATAGACACAGTGGCTGCAACTATGGGCTCAGGTACAGCAAGGATCGTGAGGCTGGCACAAGACCTGGCAGTGTTTCGTTCTGCTGTGCGTAGGGTCGCTGTGAGTTGGACTTGACAGCACCTAACAACAACAACATCTTCTGGTTCACTAATTCCCCTTTAGGTCATTTAATCTTCTGTTAAATCTGTTGGTTGAACTTTTTATTCTTATAAACAATTTGTTTATTTGTAAGTTTGGCTCGTTTTTAGATCTGCTTACTCTACTCATGGTGTTTTATTTTCTTGTTTGTGGTGAGTGTGTGAGTGAGTGTGCATATATGTGCATGTGCGTGTGAGAGTATGTAAGCTGCTTACTTTTCTCAGAATTTTATCTGTGGAAGATCTTTGATGTGTGTATAAAGTTGAGTTCTGCAGGGAGGATTCCATTTACTTCTGTCACTTGTCTAGGGGTACTTCTAGTCCTTGACTAAACGAAATTGTGGGCTTCAGTTTTTTCAGAACAACCAGGAGTATTCTGAGTGGCGGTTGTCCGTGTGAAGGCTGCCTTGTGGTTATGAGTTTTCCCTGGCAGTGTTTTTCTTCTCCTCTTCAATGCCATGGCTTGGGGAAGCCTGTTTATTTAGCTTTTCCCCTCTCCCGCCTCCCCAGCAGTCCCCTTGGAAAATGGCAGCTCATTCCTAGTCTGCCCTCACGCTGAGTCTCCGCTTTGCCGAGGTCCTAGCCTTGTGAGGGCTTCCAGCTCCTGGCTTTAGCTATGCCAGTGTTCTTTGTCTCCTGTTCCCAGAAGCCTGCAAAGCCAAAAAAGCTGATAATTGATTTTCCACAGTTTGTCAAATGTTCCCAAAGTGAAAGTCAGAGCTTGTGAACTCAGCTGACCTTTGCTTCTGTTCCTGTCTTCATTTCACTGTCGCTGTGAATATTTCTTGCTTTTGTATCAACTGAGGAGTACGTTTAAGAGAATGCTTTCAGGATTTTATCCAGTACAAGGGTTAGTTCAGGTGCCTAGTCCACCATGTTGCTGGAAACAGGAGTGTGTATGCCTCTGTTTTTTATTTTTATTGTCTCACCTAGATTCTGTGGTTCTTGAGAGAAGTGACTGTACCTTGAACTTCCTGGGCCTTCTCTGTAGAGCAGGGCTCAGTGTTCAGTGGACAGGTATACAGGTGGATACACTTTCCTGGGGCTTCCAGTTTATATCTTTTATGTCTATCACAGTTTTGAATCTTCCCAATTATGTGATGAGGTAGGTATGTTATCATTACTTCTGTTTTACAGATCAGTAAACCAAGACTTGAAAGAAGAAGCAGCAGGACACTAATCTGCTAACTAATAAGCCAAGGAATTAGATTCATAACCTTCATGCTTCTGTTTTGTCTCCTCTGTGCAGTGCTGCTTTTTAATTAGTGTCTACATTTGACACTTTCTGATTATCTTGTTTAGACATGAGAATTCTACAGAAACCACTGGATTAATAGTATCTACTTGAAATGACCTCTAAGTTCTCACCTGTCACAGATTTTTAGCTGAGTGTTTACTTAAGCTCTCTTCTGTGACTTAAACAGTATATTCATTTCTGTTACAGGGAGCAGAAAAATAAGGAACCCAGCGCTGTTCCTTGCTGTTGCAGCGTGTGACCTTTTAGATAAATGTTGTCTTTCCCAACAGGTGTGTATGTAACATAGACTGCAGTGGATACAGTTTTAATCCTGTGTGTGCTTCCGACGGGAGTTCCTATAACAATCCCTGTTTTGTTCGAGAAGCATCTTGTATAAAGCAAGAACAGATTGACATAAGGCATCTTGGCCATTGCACAGGTAAAATGCATCCGATGTACTCAAAGACCTGACTTAATACTGTGTGTCTAGAATCGTATTTGCACACTTTGGTAGTACTCCAGAGTTGGAACATGGGAAATCTTTAAAGTTTTTTCTCTTGTTATTACATATTTTAGAATGTTTTTGTTCTATTAATAGTTTAGATCTTCTTTTTCCATTTAATTTCATCTTCTCGGGAAATGAAACCATACTTCTTGGTCGTTTAGTTACTAAGCTGATCCTAGTATGGAATTGTAGATAAATTTATAGTTCTTAAAATTCTAAGAACTAGTCAACTTATTTTTATTACAGTAAGATGACAAAATGTTACCATATATTTCTCCACGTTGTTTTCTGGAGCATAATAATTTACTTTGTTTTTATTATTATCTCTGTAGTTTTTGTCTGTGCATATTATGTATTAGTTTGTATTTTGGTGTGGAGTTATAGAATGTAAGGAAACATTATTACCTACAATTTCAAATTCACTTTTCTCTTTTTGCTTTCATACTAGCTTAGAAACCTTGATACCACTAAGAATGGGTTGTTTTCCACCCCTCCTAGAGATACTCACAGGTTCTCAACCATCTTTCCTCAGTAATACAGATACAGGTTGGGATAATGTATCATTCCCTCACAAGATCATAAGACACGTGGCCCAGGCCCCACTCATGGGCTGGGCCTGCGCATCTCCGCTCCTTCCTGGTTCTGACTACCCCTACACGCTACCCACTGGGACTTACTAAGGGGCTATGTGTTTATCTGAGCTAAGGGGAAAAAAAGCTGCAAGCCAAAGTTCAGTACTTTATGTTGTTAGCAAATTATCTACGTACAACTGATTGCAACTGTCGTACAACTGATTGTAATACCTCAGCTCTAAGCCACCAAGGAAGCCCACCAGAGGATTTCCAGGTAGCGGTTGGGTGAAGGCATCATAGAGGGTCCCTTACAGGTAGATATTACCCTTAGCTTTGATCTTGAAGAGGTGTAGTTGGGTTTTCTTTCATGGGTGGCATCTAGAGCTTAGGAAGATAGCTTAGAGAGAGAATATCTTTTATGAAAAACTGCTGCATGTATGAATGGTATTCCCTGCAATTTCAAATTTTGAGTCGTCAGCCAAGCTTGAGAAGTTTCTTCAATTCGTGCGGATTTAGACTGAGTACTTAGTCCTTAACATTTTCTCTTAGTTCCCTCTGTATATCCATTGACACCTACCTGTACGTTCCGTTTGCCTCCCAGAAATATTTTCTGTTGAAAACAAATACACAGAACAAAAAAAGAGAGGCTGTCCAAGTGAGAATGTGTAGTAAGAAAAATCACAAAGTTGTCATGTGTGAGGCTTTCATTGGATATAAGATGGGGAAAAAAATGGAATTATCTGGACAAGAGAAGAAAGAGTGAAACACAATTGTTATTCTTGATTGACTGGTGCACTTAGTACACAGTGTAGTCTAGACTCCATTTTTTTCATATTTAAATCCTGTAGAATCTCCGAATATTGTCCTTGGCACAAAGAATCTTCTCCAGAGCTGTATAGCGTTCATTTTATGAATGAACTGTTTCAACTTCTGACAAGTAGGGAGTGCCTGGGACACCAGACCCTAGCTGGGATTTTAAATATTGGCTTTGTCTTTACATTAGGAGGGAGGGAGCTGTGGGGGCAGGAGGATGGACAGATAGATACTATCTGTTTTTCCGTATGGATGGTAGGTGCTTCCAGAGTATTGTATCAGCTCAGCTTATCTTAAATAGATATCAGTGCCTCACTTTTTCCCAGAAACCCACCCAATTTTAAATGTCGCAAAAGAGTTTAAGCTGCTGTCACCCGGTAGCCACCCAGGAAACCATCTTCTGTATGAACTGTTTTTGTAAATGGCTGTTATAGCTTTAATTGCAGATTTGTCTTTTATCCTCTGTATATGTGGATGATTATACACCTGAGGTGGTCTGCAGACATTTTAGCTCTACTACAGTGTTTTTAGGGAGCTCTGGTAGCATAGTGCATAAGGCACTTGACTGCTAACCAGAAGGCTGGCAGTTCAAACCCACCAGCCACTCCTCGGAGGGAAGGTTGGGCAATCTACTTCTGCAGTAATACTGCCTTGGAAACCCAAGGAGGGGTTGCTATGAGTTGGGTCTGACTCGACGGCACATAACAACAACAGTTTTTAAAAAAGCTTTCATTAGTGGTCAGATATTTACATTTTTGATTTGACAAAAAAACCATGAGTCATGCAGTGTTTATATCTAGGGCACTTGAGTCCTGAGACAGAAATGGCATGCTTGACCAAGGGAATGGTAGAATGTGATCAGAGCAACTGGACAGAGAGTTGGGAAGGACAGAGCACGTTTGGAGTACCTGAGGGTTTCTTGATGTGAATGAAACAGATGTGTCTTAATCTGAAAACCGTTTTCTCTTACAGACACAGATGACACTAGCTTGTTGGGAAAGAAAGATGATGGACTACAGTATCGACCAGATGTGAAAGGTACTGAAACCTGATTTTCCAAGTTTTGGCCAGACTACTGAAATATGGTCATTAACTGTCTTTAGAAGTTTTATTTTCACTAGAACACCCTTCCAGCTTTTCTGTTCATGCAAATTCACATTATACAGTTGATTATTAGTACTGTATTAGCTGAAACATGTAAGGTCTTCCCCGTTTACAGAATACTCTCGTATGCTTATTTTAATAGAAGTTTCTGTTGAGATAACAGTAGATTCACGTGCAGTTATAAGAAAGTATACAGAAAGGTATCTTATTTGTGCTATTTTAGTCTCCTTTATTTTTATTTATTTATTTATTATTATTATTTTTTAATTGTGATTTGGGTGAAGATTTACAAAGCAAAATCACTTTCAATATAGCAGTTCACATATACTTTGTCTCGTGACATTGACCACAGTTTCCCACAATGCAACAGCTCCCCTCCCACTTCCTCCCCATAGTTACCTCTTCCCTGTGTCCATCCCTCCATGCACTCCTGCCCCCTGAGCTGTCTCCCTGTGCACACACAGCCCTTCTTTCTCCCATGTTAGTGCCCTTTATTTCTCCAGAATTTTCTATTAACACTTACCCTCTGTGCCTGGATCTCGGAACTTTGTTCACCTCAGCCTGGAGCTGCTCCTTTCTCTGCTTAATTCCTATCAATCGTTCTCGTCTCAGCTTAAAGTATTCCCTTGTGGTGGTTCAGTGATGGAATTCTTCCTGCAGGAGACCTGGTCAGTCCCGGACTGATGTACCCCGTGCACAGCCACCATTCTCGTCACAGGGACTTGCCTGTTGCCAGGATGCTGAGCAGGTGTCAGTGGAGATTCCAGACTGAGAGTAGGAGGAAAGGCCTGGTGATGGAGTTAGGAAAGTTAGCCAGTGAAGCCCTGTGCATCTCCATGGTCTGATCTGCAGCCTGTCGTGGAGAGGGCGCATGACTGGACAGTGTTTGGTTCCAGTCTGCGTAGGGTCACCATGAGTCGAGGGCCAACTCCACAGTGGCCAACAACAGGCCTTGATTACGTTCCCCTCTTAGATAGTTCCCTGTCCTAGTGTTTAACCAGGAGCAGTGATTGGTTCTGGTGGCATAGTGTCTAAGACATTTGACTGCTAACCAGAAGACTGGCGGTTCAAACCCACCAGCCACTTCTCAGAAGGAAGGTTGGACAATCTACTTCCTCAGAAACCCAAGGAGGGCTCGCTATGAGTTGGGTCCAACTCGACGACAGTGAGTTTGGCTTGGAGTTTAGTGGTTGGTGGTTCACGCCACCAGCTGCTCTGTAGGAGAGAAGATGTGATGATCTGTTCTCATAAAGATTACAGCCTTAGAAACCCCATAGGGCACTTCTGCTCTGTCCATTAGGGTTGCTGTAAGTTGTAATTGAATTGACAGCACACAACAACAACAAGCATTTACCCATGGTAGTTGTCTTTTTCACTCACCCATCTCTCTCTCTACCCTTTGTGTCTGTGAGGACGGGGGACTTATCTGTCACGTTCACATTTGCATCCCTAACACCTAACAGGATGTCTGTCACAAACTAGGTGCTCCATTCTTATTGGAAGAATGGGCATGGCTCAGAGAAGCTCTGTGATTCGTTGGTACTGAGTCTCACCTCTCGTAAATGTCAGAGCAGAGACTGGATTTCCAGCCCCCTTGACCTTGGTCTGGAGGTCTCTCCCACTTGTTTCCATGTCTCTTGTCTTCTGTGTTTTTATGC